AGACCAAAAACACAAATTTCTTTTGGTTTTTTTTTTTAGAAAAAAAATCTTTTACTTATATATATATAATTCATTAAGATAATTTTTTAAGATAATTTATACATATATATATTTCATTAAGATAATCCCATCTTATAATCTTTGAACCTTACTTGCATCAATCTACACCTAGAAGACTTACTACTATAGCTCTTTAGATGTGTATGCATTTTGATTGGGTTGTGTGGAACTAATTTTCATTTTAGCTGTTGAATTGGGAGACCAAAAACACAATTTTTTTTTGTTTTTTTAAAATCTTTTACTTATATATATATAATTCATTAAGATAATTTTTTAAGATAATATATATATATATATATATTTCATTAAAATAATCCCATCTTGCAACCTTTGAACTTTATCAGGATCAATCTACACCAAGAAGACATACTACTATAACTCTTTAGATGTGTATGCATTTTGATTGGGTTGTATGAGACCAATCTTCATTTTAGCTGCTGAATTGGGAGACCAAAAACACAATTTTTTTTTGGTTTTTTTTTTAATCTTTTACTTATATATATAATTCATTAAGATAAGTTTTTAAGATAATTTATATATATATATATATTTCATTAAAATAATCTCCTCTTGCAACCTTTAAACTTTACCTGGATCAATCTACGCCAAGAAGACATACTACTATAGCTCTTTAGATGTGTATGCGTTTTGATTGGGTTGTGTGAGACTAATCTTCATTTTAGCTGTTGAATTGAGAGACCATAAACACAATTTTTTTTAGTTTTTTTTAAATCTTTTACTTATATATATATATATAATTCATTACAATAATTTTTTAAGATAATTTATATATATATATATATATATTTCATTAAGATAACCCATCTTGCAACATTTGAACCTTACCTGGATCAATCTACACTTAAAGGACTTACTACTATAGCTCTTTAGATGTGTATGCATTTTGATTGGGTTGTGTGGGACTAATCTTCATTTTAGGTGTTGAATTGGGAGACCAAAAACACAATTATTTTTTGGTTTTTTTTTAAAAAAATCTTTTACTTATATATATATATATAATTCATGAAGATAATTTATATATATATATATATATTTCATTAAGATAATCTCATCTTGCAACCTTTGAATCTTACCTGGATCAATTTACACTTAGAAGACTTACTACTATAGCTCTTTAGATGTGTATACGTTTTGATTGGGTTGTGTGAGACCAATCTTCATTTTAGCTGCTGAATTGGGAGTCCAAAAACACAATTTTTTTTTTTGGTTTTTTTTAAATAATCTTTTACGTATATATATAATTCATTAAGATAATTTTTTAAGATAATTTATATATATGTATATATATATTTCATTAGGATAATCCCATCTCAACTTTTGAACCTTACCTAGATCAATCAATACCTAGAAGATGTACTACTATAGCTCTTTAGATGTGTATGCGTTTTGATTGGGTTGTGTGACACCAATCTTCATTATTTTTAGGTGTTGAATTGGGAGACCAAAAACACAATTATTTTTTTGGTTTTTTTTTTTAAATCTTTTACTTATATATTATATATAATTCATTAAGATAATTTATATATATATATATATATATCATTAAAATAATCCCATCTTACAACTTTTGAATCATACTGGATCAATCTACACCTAGAAGACTTACTACTATAGCTCTTTTAGCGTTGGAGCTGAAGCTACCAAATTCTACGTGAGATGATACCCATTTATTCGTAAAAGTGGAATTTCTCTGCAAATTGCCAAGTAATAGAAGAGTGATTTTTGTGCAAATTGATGGACTCCGTAGCTACCAAACTCTGCCTGAAATGACACCATTTATTCATGAAAGTGGGCTTCCTGTGAAAACTTGATTGTTTAATTACTAATTAGTTATGTGATATTCTATCTCGTTCTTTAATCCATGTAACTAAATTTTTTTTGGTTCTTATTTGACCTTTTTTTTCTTCTCTGATGGTTATTCATGTTAATTGATTGAATGGTAATGACAAAACCTTAAAGGTCAATGATTTTGATTATTTGCTTGATTGAGAGATGAGAAACGTATTAGTATTTCAAAAGGCAAAGTACTTTTTTTTTTCTTTTTTGCTAATCAAACTAACAAAAAGGCAAAAGTAGTTAAACAAAGCTAATTCTAGGTTAAATCTTGGTTCGGTATAAAACTTTTAATCAACCAATTAAGCAAAATTGCAAGGTACTATATAACATATTCCTTTTTCTTTTTTTTTTTTTCTAAGTTGGCAAATGACATATATGCCTACATATAGCTTTCTTTTTCCTATACACTAGAAATGGAGTAAGAACTACAGATATGTTAACAAGTAATATCAAGATATTTAATATTAAAAATAAAAAAACTAACATCAAGATATGATCGTAGGATTCATCAAAAAAAGATTTGATCATATGATCTTGTCATTCCTTTTTCGTTTCAAGAAAATAAACAGTATTAAAACTGTGGAAGCAATTATATGGAACTTACAATTGCTTCCTCCGTTTTTTTTCCTCCTATTCTACTTTGCAATTATTGTCCACTACACGAAATAGTAACTTTACACGTGTCAAGTGCCCGTTAAGCCTGTTAAGTTACTTTGGAAGGTAACATAAAAATTTCCCACGTCATTTGCTCTTTTTTCTATTGATGCTGTTTAGCGTCGTCGGTGATTTTACTACGCATGTGGACAAAGAAAAGGAAAAGGAAAAGGAAAATGTAAAGGCCTAAAGGGTAAGGCCACGCCTTAAGAAGATAAACTATGGTCACAACTTCAAAGAGTCCTTTCTTATCTTTGCAAGGACGAATATTAGTAAAGCTGTCAGATGACTTGCTTAATTACAGTGATGTCCTAATTCATGTCCTAGACTTTGTTTGGTAGAAAGAGATAGAACGTAAGAAAGAAAGATAAAAGAGGGTTAAATTGATGAGAAAAATTATGATTAAGATACAAAAGAATTATTTAAACTATGTTTGGAAGAGAAATTCGTATCATGATTTGAATTATGATTTGTGATTCATTACAGTATTTTTTTTCATAAAAAATACATGTAAAACGAGAATAATTCTGAATCATAATTTTAAATTAATGAACCAAACGTCTATTTATACTTTATATTACTTGATAAAATGGTGAGAGCGTTAAAAAAATAAACGATAATTATTTATTTAATTATTATATTATTCATTTCACTATTTATTAATAATTTCTCTAAAATAGTCTTTTTAACTTGAATTTGACGGATTTAAATTGATGGGCCCATAGTTAGAGTCTCCTCCTGTGTTAATAAGGTTATACACCACTTTTAAAAAGATCTTGTTAGTTTTTACCACTTCCTATAACTTCATTGATTGGTGGACATCATTTTTACTTGGTAAATCCGTATAAATAAAAAATTAATTTTAAAATTAAATAATGTTAGATAAAAAACCTAACCCCAATTTCACTTAAATTCCCAGTCCCTTATCGGAAAAAGTGGATTACTGGATATTCTATAATCAGAGGATCAGGAATTGTCGGATCTATAGTGGCATCACAAGGAGAAGGATTAATCAGAGGAATCACAGAGAATATGTTAATTGACTTCTCCTTTAATCCATGATCGCGCACAGAGAGATCTGGGTGTGAGCGTCGCGGCATCGTGGAGGAGGGAGGCGAAACGCTCGTTGGATTGCCGAGGAAGAGAGATCAAATAATAACGTTGGCGCTGGGAAGGGAGAATCTGGGTGTGAGCGTCGCGGCATCGTGGAGGAGGGAGGCGAAACGCTCGTTGGATTGCCGAGGAAGAGAGATCAAATAATAACGTTGGCGCTGGGAAGGGAGGGTGAAGAAAAAAAGAGTGAAACCCTAAATAATTTTTTCACATTTTTATAATCTTAAAGTGGTATTAATTTACAATTTTTCTATATAGAAGTCTTGAGCGGCCTTCTTGCCCAGGTCTGCTTAAGATACGAGCATTTGCAGTCGGGTTATTGTCCGACTGCATATGCCTAAAAGTGTTCTTTCCTCGTATAATGTATGGTAAGGGCAGTCTAAAATGGATCTCAAAGGACGAGCAGTGGGTCAGTCAAAAAAGAGGGGGAATGAATATCATAGCTTTCTATTTCTATCTTAGATGTGTGTTTGAATACCATTTATGTAGAAATAGTATTTCAAAAATTCACCCTCTTTTCCTTCATCCTTTCGATCAAACAATGGAGTTGTCCTTTCCTCCCACCTCTCTTTCTCTCCACCTCATCCCTCACTCTCCCTCCAACAAAACAAACTCTTAGGTTATGTTTGGTAGGAGGTTGTGAGAGATGGAGGGAGGGAGAGGGGCGGAGAAAAAGGATGAATCTCTTGTTTAGTAAGAAGGATGAGAGAAGGGAGAGAAGAAATGAAGAGAGAGACTCTCTCTCCGGATCTACAATATTAGATCCTTCTATTAATGAAAATATTTAATAAATTCACCCAAAATTAAAATAAATGACTTTTTTACTTCAAATGTAATTCTTAACAAATAGTAAAATAGATAATAGAGTAATTAAATAAAAGACTATCATTTATTCTTTCAACTCCTCCTCCCTCTTATGAAACAATATAAATAATTATTATAATTCTCTCTATTCTTCACATTCTCCGTTCCTCCAACCCTCTTCATTATTTCTCCTCTCCATCCCTCCTAATCTTTAATCTTACTTATGATATTCAGGTTCCTCCTAATCTTTAATCTTACTTGTGATATTCAGGTCCCGTTCATTTCACCGATTCGAGTTTAGAATTCAAATTTTGTTACAGTAAAAAGTTTTAAAAAACAGTCACATCTAACTTTTTTGTTACAGTAAAAAGCTCTCACATAAAGTCACATCTCAACTCGAATTAAAAACTCAAATCAACAAACTAAACGGGCCTTAGTATCTTTAAACTTCAATTTCATTTTCCTTTAATTTTTTATCCCTTCATGTTTAATAATTAAGTGAGAGATTTAAGATGGGATGGGTACTTTATGTTGGGATAATATTCTAGAGAATTTTAATGCTATATATTTATTTCCTCTTGCATAAAGTTGGTGAAACTAAAACCGCGAAGTTTTTATTAACTGATTATTACCATCAAATAAGATATGTGTTTTTAAATGTCTAATTATATCAAATTAATTTATATAATTAAGAAACATTCTTTTACGCTTTATCAATGAATCCTAGTGCTTTGGAGAAGAAAAATAACGAACTAAGAACGAACAAGAAAAATATAGAAACGTATCGTGCTATATTTTTTAGGCAATTTAATTTCTGATAAGAATAAGGCAAAGATATGCATACAGAATTTAGCAATTATACGTATATATACATGCTATCATGAACATAATTGTACACTTTCTTTAGGGGGCGTTTGGTACGTAGTAATCAGTAGGAATCATATTCCTAGAAAAGTAATGGAGGGTAATATGATTTCTATGATTATTGTGTTTAATTCCATATATGAATCTTGTCTCAAATTCTTAGGAATAATACATTATTGTGTTTGGTTGTGCATAGAAATATTGTGTATTAAAAAAATATTTTTGGTTTCACTATAGCTTGCTCCTTCCGTTTGTTTCTTTCCTTTGGATTTCAAATTATGTATGTTTTTGTTTGTTTTCTCTTTGGATTGGAAATTTCTTTTCTTGCTCCTTCCGTCTGATTCCGATCAACATCATCATCAACTCCAGCACCGTCGCCGGCCATGGAATGAACCTGAAGAGGAAATTCAATTGGAAACAAAGAACATAGAAGTTGACACTTTTGAAGTCCGTGTGAAAGAAGATTCTCAACCTTCTGCTCCGCCGCCACCACCGTCACCTCCACTATCTCTGCCTCCGTCGCCGCCAAAGGAGGAGGAGATTAGGTGTAAACCGAAGCGGAAGGAAGAGAGTGGAGATCAAAGGCCTCAAAGCAACGATTTTTATAAGGTCAACTATTACAAGCCACCACCTGCACGGCCTCCTCCTCCGCCGCCGCCCCCGCCCCCGGTGTATGAAGAAACAGAGAAAAAGAGTAGTGGCAAAAGTCAAGAGAAAAGGAGAGGGAACGCCACTAAGGAATTCCTGACATCCCTAAGGAAGAAGAAGAAGAAGCAGAGACAAAACAGTGTCGAACTCTCCGATTCCTTCCTCGCGTCCATTGATTATCCTTATTTGCCTTCGTATCCACCTTCACTGCCGCCGCTGCCACCTCCGCCGTCTGTCTTCCACACTCTGTTTTCCTCTAAGAAAGGAAAAACCAAAAAATATCACTCATTTTCGCAATCTCCATCATTGCCTCCATCGTCGCCGCCTCCGCCTCCATCTGTTCGCGTTTCGAGGAGCAAAGCTCAGAGCAGGCCGATTTTGGTGACTCAAAAACCTTCATTGCCGGTCCACACGAGAAATGTTGACAGCGTCGAAGAGAACACGAAGATCGAAAGTGAGTCGCTGTTGATTCCAATATTGATGCAAAACATAGCACAACTTCAAGGGATCCAGTTCAAGTTCCAATTGGGCTGGTTACGAGAGCACGAGCAAAGAAGTTTAAAGATGTACTCAACGGGCTGATTCAAGAGGTTTGGACTACCCATTGAGCATGATCCACATGATCAACAAAGATGCCTCAGCATGATTCAAGTTCTAGAAGAATCCGACCAAGATTAAGCTTAAATCCAGCAAGTTAAATAGGCATGTTTAGGAATATTCTCATCCGATTGTAAGGCTTGCATGCCAAGATATTTACTTTCCTTTTATTTGTTTAGGCCTTTTAACTTTTATGGGCGTGTATGGATGGTAACAAAGCCATTTAAAACTCCCAACCTTCCTTTTCTATTTTAGGCGTGTTATTAGCAAATTAAGGTGTTGATCGTTTCCTTTTCTTTTTAGGCAAGTAAGAGTTTTTTCTTTTTACCAGTTTTAAGCCTTAATTAAGTTGGCTATTTTAGGAACTTTCTGTATAATGGTTGGCCTTTTAATAGGCGTCTAAGTAATGGAAAGAGCTTATCATTATTCAGAAAAATTGTGAGAGTATTTTCCCTTTGGTTATTTGAAGAACTATTCGAACTCCTCAAGAATTATTCTCGTGGCGTTCAGCAATGACTTATCAAATGGATTTCCACCACCGTTTGTAGCGTCTTCATTATACCGAGGTTCTTGTTTTTGAAGAAAACAATGGGTCGAGATTCCATTTAAATCTAATCGTAGAATGGTTTTGGGTTCCTAAAAGTGTTCGGATCTCGTTATTCTTGACGAGGTTCGTATCAAATACCGCCACCACCGCCTCTGCTGCCGTTTAGAATTCAAGACTAGGGGTTCGTGAGGCATGGCGATTTGGTGAGAATCAAGAGCGACAACAGATAGGCGTATGGAATGAGAAGAAATGGGTGAGATAAATTTTGATTCCCGTGATATTACTCTCTTGGGAAATTGAATAATACCCTATTGGATGGGTTTAAGATTACTCCAAAATGTGGTAATATGAATCCCATAAATTTCACTTTCTTGGGTTTTAAAAAAGTTTAATAATTATATCAAACATAAAAATCTTTCAAATTTTCATTTCTACTTTTAAGATTATCCCATACCAAACACCATTTTAAATTATAACACGGTACTCTTTGCGTGTATTTTTTTTTTAAATGCTTGTGGAGATATATAATATGATATGAATGTGAGGCTTTACTTCAAAGCCCCAATTGATGATATTGAAGAAGAAAATTCTCAACATTGCGGCGTGTGGTGCAAAATAGTATAAAGTATTCCACTACTGAATTGGTTTGGCATTGGACAACGAGAGAATTCCCTAGTTGTTTGGCACTTTATACACACACATCGAGTGATGACAGAAAAAGGTGTGCACATATTATAATATAAATATGCTAACAAGCTAACACCCAATGACCCACAACCCAAAAAAAAAAAAAAAAAAAAAAAAAAAAAAAACCCACACACACACAATAGGATCATGATATGATATGTGACCTCCACCTGAAGAAAACCCATAAATTGACATCCCTAATTCGTTCCTTTTCCATTCCTTCCTTTCTTCCTTCCTTCCTTCTTACAAAGATCAAAAGTATATAACAAATTAGAAGAACAACAAAAAGCCTATGATCAACACTTGGGTATGAAAAATAAATCAATATATGTATAAATATGTGGGTTATAAATTAGATGATGATGAGGATGATGATGATGATGAGAGAAGGATCATCATCAGGAGGAGGGTTTATAATGAGCAGTAGTACAGGAATGAGTACGAGATGCCAAGACTGTGGGAATCAAGCAAAGAAGGAGTGTGTGTATATGAGGTGTAGAACTTGTTGTAAGAGCAAAGGGTTTCAATGCCAAACCCACGTTAAAAGCACTTGGGTTCCTTTGTATCGTAGGCGTCAGAGACAGCAGCAGCAGCAGCAGCAACAACAACAACAACTTGTTAATACTAGTAGTAGTATTCATCCACAAGCGCAACATCTTCTTCATCATCATCATCATCATCATCATCATCAAGGGCTCAACAGTAGTAACCCTAAAAGGCTCAGAGACAATCTCTCTTCTGCAGGTAGCGATTTACTAGTAGCTAGTATAGTAGTACTAATTAATCCTTCTTCTGGCTAAGTCCACTGTTCCCAATTCAAGAGAGGAGAGAGAGAGAGAGAGATTTTATGCATCAAATATACAAACCCATTTGCTGGGGGATCGCACTAACTCTTCTTCTGAGCTTAAACCCAAGTACAGATTCACAAAGAGAGAGAGAGAGAGAGAGAGAGAGAGATGAGTATATGCATCAAAATACATACATACATATATATTTATATAATATATTGACTAGTATAGAAGGAAAAGAGAGATGTATGTGATGCGTGTGTGTGTGTATATATATATATATATATATATATATATATGTTCGCGCGCTTGCGCTTGTTGGGGGGTTAATACATATATATCTTCTTCTTGTACTATTTCCAACACAATCTAGCTAAAAATCCCATAAAAGAAAGGAGATATCACAAATATATATATATATATGTGTGTGTGTGTGTGTGTGTGTACATATAGAGAAATACATGAAAACCTTATTTTCTCAACGGTCATGATCATCATCATGATCATGCTTTTTGTGGTTAAAATCATCATGATCATGTTCAAGAAGTACAGTAGCACTGCTAGCTAGTCATATTGAACTGATCATCAGCTGCTAAAACTGAGCAAAATAGCTTCTCGTTTCTCTCCCACTCTAATACTAGTAGTAGTAGTATAGTGTACTGTTATTAGAATCTAATTATAATTTCTGACTGACAAAGAAACTACGAAAAGAGAGTAAAGAAAGAGAGAAAGCAAAAGCTAGGAGTACTATACTCCCTACTATAGCTATATCGCTATATATCTTTATATCTATCTCTTTCTACAACTTTCTCTTTTACTTTATTTTTTTTTTGGTTTAATTGCTCTAATTAAAATTAAAATTGAATAAATGATGTCCCTTTTTTTCCAATTATAGGCTTTATATATTTTTTTACTTTTCATTTTCTAGGGTTAGGAGATCATGATGGTGATGGGGCAAAGAATTTCCCATTGGAAGTGAACGCCATGGCGACATTTCACGTGGTGCGAGTGAGCTCCATGGTGGACGATGGAGGTCCTGATCATCATCATCAGCAGCAGCAGTATGCGTATCAGACGAGTGTGGGCATCGGAGGCCATGTTTTCAAGGGTATTCTTTACGATCAAGGGCCTAATCATCATCATCATGATCAAATCAGCGGCGCTTACTCTAGTCTCGGCGCAGCTGATCAGATCACCTCCTTTGCTCAGCAGCCTAATTTTGTTAATCTTATGAGTAGTACCAGTAGAAGATCAGGATCAAGTGCAGTGGGTATTGATTTTAATGCTCGTTCTTCATCATCACCACCAGCTGTTGCTATAGGTCAACGGCCATTATTTCTCGGGTCTTCCTCATCATCATCATGGCCGATGTTTCACCCTCCTAATGGATTCAGTATGTCCGGTATGCAATTTTTCCCAAACAGAAAATCTTAAGTCCACCCTAATAATTTATTTTCTTTTCCTTTCCTTTCCTCTATATATATATATATATTTTAATTTTTTTTTTATAATATTTTCCCCTATCTGTATCTCATTCTCTAGAAGGAAAAAAATCTTGGGAAAATAATATATTTGTTTTTTCTATATATATTGACAAAAGATTAATTTTTATGTGCAATGAATGTTTATGAACTTAGAATTAATATTTTTACTAAATTCCGCTTCTCTCTCTCACACACACACACACATATATTGGATATGGTGTAGTTTCTTATATGATTTACGGCAGAGAAAAGAAAAAGGACAGATTAATTTAAACCCACCCTTTTGATTATTCATCATGTTTTTGAAGATTTGGACCACGCAAATACATAGGATTGAGGGAAAGAATCTTTTCTGCTATAGAAAATTGAAAAATCAACAGATCAGAAAGATATCATAATACATAAAATCGAAACACAAGGAGCTATAGTAATTTTAGTTTTGTTTATATATAGCTTTTGTTCAAATTCCAATGTCTGATTTTACATGATCTTCCCTGTTATTAAAATGGTGTATAGTACTTGTTCAGTGATCTATGAATTATGTAGGTTTGGAAGTTTGTCTTGTTCCACATTTCTATATTATTATTCTCCTTTAAAGGCTACATTTGCTTCATTAAGCTGTTGTTTATGAACTTCGAAACAACTTTTTTCCGGTTTACCCGTTTTCTTGCCTCCTTTGAGCAACGTTTAGACAAATTACTAAGATTGCAGAATAATATATATATATATATATATTTTCCTTTCACATGTGTTTAAAATATAAAAGTCCCTACCATATATGTGCATGCATCAAAGTTTGATGCATGCACATATATGGTAGGCACACGAGATGAGAAGAAACTCTCAAACTCAGGGAAACATTGTATGTGTAAGAAAGGATGTTAGGCAAAATCCTTATTTCTTGATTAACTGTTGCAATGATTGTGTAATGCTCCACATAATAATGTTAGGTCGTACGTTGATATATAAAAGATTAAGAAACAGAAAAGAATAAGTTTCATGTTTGTCGTCTTGATTTTTTTTTTTCCTTCTTTGATATTATTGCTCGCCTGCTCAATATTGATGAGTTTGATGGAAAGGCTGCATATTTTTCTTTTTTTCTTTTTTTCCTGCCATGAAAGTCTTCATATGATACTCTCTATGCATGTATATGACCAAATGTACGGGACATCTGTCAGTGGGTGTGTACAATAAGTATTTTGATTTCCTCATTGCTAAGAAGTAAAGTCGCTAGCTAAAGCCTAGCTAGTCTGAAATGATTGTGTTACACCTACTAATATCAATATTATAGGGAATAAATGCCGTATTACGTTTCTTATTTTTATATGTTACGTGATTTATATGTTACCTGAGAGTACGGAGACCGTAGCAACTCTATACATGTAAAATTACATCATACATAAAACAAAAATAACCAACATTATTTTATAGAAAGTTTTATAATCCACCACCAGTGGCATCTTTTGGATTTAAGAAACTTTGTGAAGAAAACAAACGCATGCTTGATCTTCGATGCTAAAATAACTATATATAGGAAAAGATTGATAACCCCTCGATGACACTACCAGTGGAATATATCCTTAATTTGTACTTGAAAGAATACACAGAAAGACAGCCATTAATGAAGAAAAGTCGTTTTGCAGCGGCTCCACCAGAACTCATACAAGAACCATTACCCCCTTAAGAAAATCCAATACAATGGATTCTCCTAAGTGCTTTCAAGGTGACTTTCCTATTAAGTCTAATGAAGTCCTTTTGTTAATATAAATATAATAGTTAGAGAAAAGACTAGGAATAGATCAGATATTATATATGAATTATATTGGGGGGGAAGAAGTGGGGCATTAATTGATCTTTTGCTTTAGAGTAAAGTAGAGAATGCAATATTTTTTAAGGTTAGAATCTTGTGCTACAATTTCCTGGTTATTTTTTTTAAAAAAAGAAAATAAAAGGTAAACAAATTAATTATCAGAGAATTGTACCCTTTGCTTTGCAAAAGAAGAATATTAATGTACGCAACCTTTTCTGGATTGCGTTAGTTTTAGAGGTAAAGTTATACAAGATATTCGTCATGAAGGATATTTTGTCAATTGCATGCATGATGGGGAAGTATAGAAAAAGGTACACATGAAATTAGATGATACAAATGGAATGACTTTGTATTAATGGTATGTGCATGTGTTAGAGTCAATTTATAACTCTACCAAATATGTAACACTACGGATTATTATTATATGAAAGAAGAGGTACACATATTCATTGTGTCTAGAATTTTGAGGAGCTAGGAAAAAATGGAAATGCAGAAAGCTTTAAAAAACATGTCACTTACATATGAAGAAGCCATAAAAAAGGAAGTCTGCAATGCATATATAGTAGACTGCATATTGGTGAAAAATGTGGGGAGCAAAGAAATTTTAATGAAATTTAATTAGATTGAGTGGTGAGGTGAAGGTTGGTCTTGTAAATATCTACAGGGAAAAAAAAACAAGACCCTTTTTTCTTTTAATAACCTTTTATAGCTTAGACAACTTTTGAACAAAGTAAGTATTGCATAAACTAAACTCCGTGAAGGTAACAAAACATGTATGAGGTGATCTTGCTTACAATGCAACTTTTTGCTTGGTGTTGGAACGAGTGGAAAGTCATACTGAAATGGATTCGAGAGAAAAGAAATGGTCAAATTTTAAGGTTGGGGAAAAAAATCAAGTGCTAATCTATAAACTACAAAAGAATTCGAGCATGACATAAAGTTGGTGCTTGATATTACAAATTAAACATGCATATCATATAATCATATATATAGTAGTACTTAAGAGGCAAGGGAGCAAGGATGACACCATGAACTAGCTAGTTGCTAATTGTGTTGCAAAATTAGATCATGTTTGCTTCGTGGTTTGAAACATGGTTCAATCCTTTTTGTTGCAGTGTTTTTCTCACAAAATTTTAATTTTGGTTCAAACTTTCTGATACGAACTTATGAACCAAACAATACCTTCGTGAATATTGTAGTGAGAATCTATATTTTCTATCTCAAGTGGCTAAAACAACGTTTTTAGTATCAGTATGCAATATTTAAGACCTTGATAGCTCAAACGACGGGTGAACAATTTCAAGATGTTTGACATATAGTAATGGGGAAAGTATAACCAATAGTTTCCTTAAACTAGTAAAATTATTCGACCGAAGTATCTCTAAGGTTCATTGTTATCAATTTCTAATTAGCATGGCTGGTAAAGTAGATATACTTGAACCATGCTGATTCAAGTTTTTTTTTCCTCCTCCTCCTCCTCCTCTTCCACCTCCTCCTGCTCCTTCTTGTTTATACGATCAAATTAAACAAATCCTCCTCCTCCGCCTCCTCCTTCTTGTTGATACGATAAAATTAAACAAATCCTCCTCCTCCTCCGCCTCCTCTGCCTCCTCCTTCTTGTTTATACGATTAAATTAAACAAATCCTCCTCCTCCTCCTTCTTCTTCTTCTTGTTTATACGATCAAATTAAACAAATCCTGATTCAAGTTTTTAGGATCAGTATGCAATATTTAAGACCTTGATAGCTCAAACGACGGGTGAACAATTTCAAGATGTTTGACATATATTAGTGGGGAAAGTCTAACCAATAGTTTCCTTGAACAAGTAAAGTTGTTCGACCGAAGTATCTCTAAGGTTCATTGTTTTCTATTTCTGATTAGCATGGCTAGGTAAGTAGATATACTTGAACCATGCTGATTCAAGTTTTTTTTTCCTCCTCCTTTTTAGTATCAGTATGCAATATTTAAGACCTTGATAGCTCAAACGACGGGTGAACAATTTCAAGATGTTTGACATATATTAGTGGGGAAAGTCTAACCAATAGTTTCCTTGAACTAGTAAAGTTATTCGACCAAACTATCTCTAAGGTTCATTGTTTTCAATTTCTGATTAGCATGGCTAGGTAAAGTAGATATACTTGAACCATATTGATTCAAGTTTTTTTTTCCTCCTCCTCTTCCTCCTTTTTAGTATCAGTATGCAATATTTAAGACCTTGATAGCTCGAACGACGGGTGAACAATTTCAAGATGTTTGACATATATTAGTGGGGAAAGTCTAACCAATAGTTTCCTTGAACTAGTAAAGTTATTTGCCCGAAGTATCTCGGTTCATCGTTTTCAATTTCTTATTAGCATGGCTAGGTAAAGTAGATATACTTGAACCATGCTGATTCAAGTGTTTTTTTCCTCCTCCTCCTCCTCCTACTCCTCCTTCTTGAACTAGTAAAGTTATTTGACTGAAGCATCTCTAAGGTTCATTTTTTTCAATTTTTGATTAGCATGGCTAGGTAAAGTAGATATACTTGAACCATGCTTATTCAAGTTTTTTTTCCTCCTCCTCCTTCTTGTTTATACGATCAAATTAAACAAATCCTCCTCCTCCTTGTTTATACGATCAAATTAAACAAATCCCCCTCCTCCTCCTTCTTCTTGCTTATACGATCAAATTAAACAAATCCTCCTCCTCCTCCTGCTTGTTTATTCGATCAAATTAAACAAATCCTCCTCCTCCTTGTTTATACGATCAAATTAAACAATCCTGATCAAATTAAACAAATCCTGATTCAAGTTTTTAGTATCATTTAAGACCTTCCTCCTCCTCCTCCTCCTCCTCAAATTAAACAAATCCTGATTCAAGTTTTTAGTATCAGTATGCAATATCCTCCTCCTCCTCCTTGTTTATACGATCAAATTAAACAATCCTGATCAAATTAAACAAATCCTGATTCAAGTTTTTAGTATCAGTATGCAATATTTAAGACCTTGATAGCTCAAACGACGGGTGAGTAATTTCAAGATGTTTGACATTAGTGGGGAAAGTCTAACCAATAGTTTCCTTTAACTACTAAAGTTATTCGACCGAAGTATCTCTAAGGTTCATTGTTTTCAATTTCTGATTAGCATGGCTAGGTAAAGTAGAT